CATGTCGATGATATGTAGATACTTACATAGCTGGGCACCTTGGCAACTACATGTAGGTAAGTAGCTGGGGGGTGTAGGCGAATGAGAATGCATACATTAGGTAGTGCAGATGCTTGCTCAGTTGCGAAGCTACGATGTACCGTGGCCATGTAGTAGTTGCAGTAGTTGTAGTCGTGATAAGTTGTAGTTGCTAAAGAACAAGCGAGAATGCATAGTTTGTTACTAAAAGTTGGGTGTGGCAATAGGTAGGTAATTATTGCGAAAATAGACATGATATATAATATATAAAATGATAACTTACATTATACCATGTAAACTTCAATCCGACGAGGCTCGACTAGTTCTCGTCTTGCATTACGAGCTGAGAGATGACCAATTCGATCGCCAATCTGTCACCTTTTTCGTATTGGAAACCAAGCTCAGCCTTACATATGATACACACGAGCAGCCGAAGAGAACGGTTCGGATGAGTAAATGGTACGGTGGAAATCGAGCCGCAGCCGTTGAATTTCATCGTGCAGCTTCAAACTTCAGGTTTATGATGTGATTCGGACTTTGGGATAAAACATTGAACCAGGAATCCGACTGGGCGCTACGGATGATTCATACATGAAAAATACATAATAAGAAGTAACTAATGTATATATCATATCTGCGCACGCAGTACAAAAGGAGCAAGAACGGTACACATGGTAACACGAAGCGTGTGGGTAAAGTTACCCGAGTTGGATAAGCTCCGCATTAGCATACCATTAAATTGATCATCTTCTAGTAACACCTGATAATCTTCTATGTACCTCATTATTCCCTCACATATACATATGTATGTTAGATAGCTGTGTAGATATTTCAGAGAGGCTGAGAGGTTGGAGGTTAAATCGCCGATAAAGCTTGATGTTTAAAGCCTGATGTTCTTGCTAGCTCTTGCTTAGCTTGACCGGCATCCCGTTGGAACTATCTTGTCAGAATTCTAGCTAACATCCTGGCAGGCTCATTTATACGCATTAAAAGCTAATCGGACGGACCCCCAACGACCAACATTGAAGTAGGTAGATAGGAGGTAGCCTTACAGGCTGTGCCACTCGCTGTTTTTATTTTACAAGATACATTACTATGTATTTGGGATAAATGCAAATGCCATACGGTATCATATTCGGCATGATACAGATCGCGCCTTATTACTATGTATATATTACGTATGCTACGGATTCGTACGTGCTATGTATGTAAAACGTGCCTAACCTATCGGACATGGCAAGACAATTTTTCAAAGGGACCTGTTTTACATTTTACACATTTTGAGGTGCCCATTTAAAAGTACCCGAATACAAAGATACAAACGGCTTCATCGGCGCATCGGTGGAGTTGCGGGAAGATTTGACCCGGCCGAATGTTTCAAGGCCGGGAATCTCTCCCAATTAATTGATGGTTACGGAAGGTGCGCAGGTGAAAAGACCATGAACCATAATTTACCCAGGTACCTACCCTAATATACCCTTGAGAAAATAGACTTTAGATCTAGCATTAGTTGGACATATTTCGTGCACAAGGTTTTCTCCTATATTAGTAGAATGGAAAACGTGAGCCGCAGTTCCCGATCATATTTCTCGGCGCTTCCACTAAGTCTACTACCTACTACGGCAAGTTACCTAGGTACCCTTCTCAGCTTTGACTTCTCCATACATATGATACATTCAGAGCTGGGGTAATTTAAGTATATTTTTTTTCTTTCCTCCTTAAAAAAAAAACTCATTTACGTACACACTCCCAGCAACGTTGCCTCTTACGGAACTTTTTAGCTCGACAGTGGGGCAAGAGTCCGGACAATCGCGGGTACATCCTGATCGACCCTGGATAAGTTTCGAGTGTACACGAGGACAATGCAGAGTCTCACCAGTCTCAGACCTAATTACTAACAACTGCAGTTTGGTGGAGGTACATGGTAGAAAATTACCAATCTGCAATCAGAAAAAGAAAGGATGAATCGTAAAAAGCGGGTGGCGGCCGCGGAAGTTCAGAATCATGAAATACGGGATGAGAATAGATAAGTGGTTAAGTGGTTAGTTGGCACAAGGGCTATCTCGTTCACGAATGAAGTCTTGTATATCGGCTACTTGTTGCACGTCTGTTACCTGTATAGCTAATAAGTCGGCAGGTGGACTATCCGAAGGTAGCATGGCTAAAGAGGCATATGTCCGTCCCGCCATTTCTAGCATACTCGACATGATGCTAACAATATGATAATGATAATTAACATGATCGACACAATAAGAAATAAGAAATAAGAGATGAGCTTGCCGCCAAAACGCGAAATATACCATCACCATCGCCATGTAAGCGGCATACGCGTCGAGCTGCTACATTTCGCAGTTCGCTTGATGTCTTGTCGTCGTTATTCCTTCTTACCTGCATGACTTCATGCAGGATGGGGTTTGGGGCTAGGTACCAACATTAGAATCCGTCAACATGTAAACTGTTCCAACTGTTACTGTGTAAGCCTGGCTTACGGCATCTTCAAAATGCAAATGTCAGCATAGTATTCTACTTCGAGGCATCTACCTACCTACTCAAGTTTGAAAGTCATATTCTCTGTCGCTGGCTCAAGTACAGCTAAATGGAGCGCTGTTCTGATTGGATCGCTATACAAGCTTAAGCGACCAATGGCCTCATATATCAGCATTCGCCGTTTGATTGAACGGCACGCCGTACGGGCAAGGACTAATAATAGACAAAATCTCTCAGTTACTTTACTTAGCTGCAAGGCTGTCGCCGATAGATAGGGGGACGTGTGATTAGAGGGTGGAAACGAGGGGCTTGTCTAGAATCATTGCTACCTAAGGGAAACATCAATCTCATCCTCCCCGTTCCAAAGAGAGGGTAGTTTCTTTCAGGCGTCAAAGACACAGTAGCTCACTATTATTGCTATTAGCTTCTTCCATATCCGCCAAACCACGTAATATTTTCGTCAGCACTTGCTAATATCTTCCTTCTACGCGGCAGAACCCTGCCACCTTAGCACATGCCAAACCAGACGTGCGTATCTGTTCAACATCCCAGGGGGCGTTGACTCATATCCAAATCCCACCTCAACCGGGAATCGCGAATGCATCGTTGCCCCGCTCTACAAGCCCTTGCCTCTCCGCATGACCGTACCCAGAGAACGAATTCACTATGTAGGTTAGCTACCTAGACCTAACAAGAATACTAACGTAATTGACTTCCCTAAGGCTAAGGTTAGGTATGCTGGTATGTAGTCGATAGCTGAGCAGTGGAACAAGATTGGTCATCGATGAGCGAAAGGGATTCAGTTTCAACACCAAATACAGAACTAGTTAGCCCCATCTTGTTGTAGCTCTAGAAGCCAGAAGCCCAATGATAATCTCTAACTAATTCGGAGTCGCCTCAGTGGCATCTTAATTGGTCTAAAGAACGCCACATCTCGGGGGCCGCCACGGATTCGACCAGTCCTTAGCAATATTAGGCGCGCCAAGACGGCGAGCAGCCAAACGCCATAGCGGTAGGAACCGACCTTGTGGAACTGGCTTTTTCGGCAACGTCTACTTTAATTTGAATAACATCACCCGTAGTCCCGTAGCGAGGATTTGTCGAGATTACAAACATAGTCGTCGTATATGTTTTAGTTCCATGAGAGCGACGCCATGGAACATCTATTAGGCATCTATTAGGGAACCCCACATCGCCAACAATCAATATTGCTGCATCAACCTGTAATTACATGTAATTACAGCTGGTACCGATATGATGCGAATCCACACCACTCCCGTCCGTGTATACACGCGGCTTCTTCTATCTCTCGGACTTTCATTCAAGGATATGCTACCAGCATGCTAACTGCATGTCTAGACAGTCTAGACAGTCTAGACTTTGGACCTTCATGTCTCGTTTTTTTTTTCTATCAGCTAGGTAAGCTGACTTCCTGATAAACTTACTCGAATAGGTAGCTTATATTTTGGTCTAGTGATCTGTTAAGCGCCATTGTCGTCGCCATGACGCAAATTTCACTAACAAGTAAATTTATATAACTACTGTACATATAGAATATATACATCAGTTGCCCCTTAAGTTTATATCAGGTACTTAGAATAGTCTGTCGCACAAATACCAGTAGTACACGCTTGTAATTCGCGGCGGTGGAATTAGATACATAGGACATACTTGAACACAATTGTATACTTACTTAAGATTTACAGGATCTCGTGTAAAGGGGTTCAGCATACATCATCCGGGTATCTCTGTACAATACTTCTCTGTACGTAAACACAGAGTTTGTGAGATGTTACCTATCAGAGGTCCATGTGTCATACGGACTAAAACGGTTAGGTAGGACGAGGCCTTACGCCGTCTACTTCTCTTCCTGCACTTCCTGCACGATGCTGCAGCCAAGGTCTAGTTACATGTAGCTTCACCTATTCGTCGACCTGCATGAGCTCCACTTGGCACCGGATACCAGCCTGCCAGCCTCTTCTCATCTGTCACGAGTCGCTTCTATCAGATTCCCACTATCATCAGGAGGCCGATCATCTGTTTACGACGGGGACCAGAAAGAAGAGCAGCGATCGCGGATCTAGCCATGGGTAAAGACAGATGCGTATACGATTGCCGATGCACTAAGGTCATCCCGGCGTGTGGGGAGCTGCGACGACCCGGTTGATTATGAGCTCACAGATATCACACAAGCTCACATGGCAGCAAACGAGCGACCATCGAGAGTCTGGTTGAAGAAACAAGACAACATATGCCATATGGATGTTTCACGATATGTCGGAAGACCCATCAAAAGGTATAAGATGGGACCAAAGAGCGTCATTGAGCATTAGGACCAATGATCAGACGAGCCGAACCCAGACTCTGACCGGCTTCCATCACGGCCGACACATGTCGAAACAAGCCATGATTGGCCTGCCAAATATAATCCTTGCATATCGCATATAATTTATGCGAAAGTGCGCCACAGCTGAAGAACTAGGCCACAATAGAGGTAGCTGTGGACTATAGAAAGAGGCTTTGGACTCACTGACTCAAAGGTCTCAAGTAACCAAACAGGAATAAATCGGAACCGGCGGGAAGGAAACCAATACATGCATACCTCTGACCGAAGAAACATCGTAAGATACGATTCCACTTGTATAGTATAGCTTGCATAGTATAGGTAATTTCTTCAGACGAACATTAGGTACGGGGAAGAAGCCGGCGATAAGAAAGCAAGAAACTAACCTAGACATAACTACTACATACCTACCTATTCTCAACTCCCAGGCAGTCATCGGTCGCGCCAAGAGCTCTCTGCCTTGGATGAACGCCTGTGTCTATAATAATACAATGCCATGTACGCATGGCGTAACAGGGAGTTTGACTTATTACCTTGTTATCCCCGGCACTTAGGGACGACCGGGAATGGATGTTCCGTCGAGCGTCAAGTTGAGATGAGACCTAATTACCCCTCATCTCTCTTCGCGGTCTGGTTCCGCTTGCGATTCCACTAAACCCTCTTGCTATGTAGGTATTGTAGGTATACGATCAGAAATGATATCTGTTAACTATGTAGACCTTCCAGATCAGATCTATATCAGCCATTTGAGTATAGATAGACGACGGTTGGGGTTATCAGCGTCTATAGGACTACATGTGACCGGTGGGGGAGCCTCTAATATGGGGCGAGCAGTGAACGATTATGTATAGCGGCCCAGAACGCGCTGGGGAAGCGAGTTATAGTATATTACGCTAGTGTAGACAAAGACAAGATGGTGTGAAGCGATGGCTTCGAGGAGAGTATAGTACATATACCACACTATGTATAGTACATAGAGGAGGGGGGAACACGATGAGGAGCATTAGGGGGGTCGGTGTTGAGAATGAGCTCCTCGGTCGTACCTTGGGGGACTTGATGGAGGGGGACAGTATCGCTGCCGCCATTGGTCGAAGCTATGAGATGAGGTCTCGTCGGCCAACCAGCTGACACGATGAATGTTCAAGCTTGGAGCCGGAACCCACAGACCATCTGCAAATCATCATCTACCTTGGCGCCTGTTCATCCCCACTCTACCTTAAATGCTACCGCCCAAGCCGCCTGCGGTCCATGCCCTCGCCCCACGCTCACGATCCCATCCATGGATACCCCCCTACTATGTACCTATGCATGTAGTATATACATATCTGCCTAGGGGGGGTCCCCCTCCATGAAAATCCCAGCTTGCTAAAACAGGCTGACAGGATGACAGGGTTATGTACATACATAGTGTACCTACACTACACTCAGCATGCAGTCGCGTCTTCTCTCGCGTCGCATCCCATCCCAAATTTTTTTTTTCCCTTTCCCTCGATCTGAACTAAGGTGTCCTTATCTTTGCTCGTGTAAGTGTGGCTTGCTTAAAGTCTCACACTCACGTCTGCAGCCGTCCGGGCCAACCGAGTAGGAGGTTTCCTTAATGCTTCTCGCGGGAGCACAAAGCGTAAGCCTCTCTTTGACAGTTTGGCACAGCCATGAATCCATCCCGCCCAGCGAGAACGGTACTGGGTATTATAGCGTATAACTATAGTGTAGGCATACCTAGTGTTAGTTGTACATAGTAGGCGGCGGCATCGCCAACCAACAAACACCCCTCCCCCATGGCTGGCTTGCCTGCCCTCCTCCCTCGGCAGATTATTTCCAAGGAGTGCACTCCACGATCTGTCTATCGAGCTGCCGACCCACTGAGGAACGCTCAGACGTGCCTACCAGCCTACCATGACCTGCTCGTCCGTTGCTTCTGCATGGCACGACAGAGCGGGAGATTTTCCCAGATCCCTGTTTACCCGCTCTTGCAGGCGGCCGAGCATCCACAATTGATCGTTTTTAGCTTAGATTCCTGCTGCGTCGATAGCCTCTTTTTTGCTCTGGGTCGACAAACAAACGTATCACAAAACAATTTACCTAATTTTTTTTTTATCTTTCTCTTTTGTTTTTTTCTGGAGATACCTTAACCATATTGCTTTTTCTAACGGATACAATGCAAGGGAGGTAGGTGGCTTTTCTTTCGAAAGAACGCCGGCATCGCTCAATGACGCAATTTATATAGAAATATTTATAGCTGCGCCGCTGCCGAAGCATGAATTCGTAGACAGGAGGCTTGGCGCTAGGTCGTCTCCAAAGTCAAGGTCTCTGACGAGGCCTTTCCTATAGGTTTTCTTTTTCCCCCCTTCCCCCCCATCGACTATCTACTCTAATGCACGTAGACGCATGTACGTACGAGATCATGTTAATGTCACGTAGTAGAACTTCAGAAGCAGCAGCAAGCAGTAAGCAGGCAGCAGCAAGCAGGCAGCAGGCAGACGGCTGATCTGGAGATCTCAAACCCAATCTCATCAACTCTCCGCTGCCGAATCATGATAGAGTCCCAAAGTCTGTAGTCAATCGGTGAAACCAACACTATCCGATATGGCAACACCTCGAGTGTACCACAGCATTCGGACAAACTTCCTAGAGGCTAGCCACAGCAGCATGTTCCTTCATCATCTTTTTTCTTATTTTCCTTCCTTAATGTTTTAGAACGGTGGCTGATGGTAATGTTTCATGTTTAAATCAACACTCCTACCACGTTGGCTGAATGCTTCCCTAAGACTTGTTCTAGGTAACCATCGAGAGACATTCGGAAGTGACGTCTTCTCCACGTTGGCGTGCTTCACAGCGTCGACTTGGCTTGACGACGTACCGAACACCCGTAATAATCATTAAGTTTCTTTTCCCTTATCAACTTCCGGTATCGCAAGTCTTCTTCTTCCAACCTTTATCTCATTTTAGTATTTTTTGATTTTTTTGATCAAGAACAGCCGATTTTGCTTACTTGCGCAACGGGATACAGCCTGCGAGGGTTATGGGTTGAACAATGGCGCACTCCACACGATGCTGATATATCGTCCGATGCAGTTTACCATTCCTAAGTGCCGCGGGATCGACCAGGAACCATAGAAGCAGCACCACCACCCTCCATGCAGTACGCCTAGCCAGTCTGCCTGTATGTTCCCTGGGGTCTTAATAGAATAGTGAGGCTATAGTCGTTGCGCGCCATCGCGGCCACTTGCACATCCTCACGGCCGTGATAACAACCGTAGAACGCGGGAATAGCGTGTTTTCTCGCCACACCGGTTCAAACGTGACTATTCACATGGCCTGCCGACCTTGGAAGCTGGTAAGAAATACGCCTGTATAACAGGTATAACAGATAGACCATCGTACCACTTTGCTGCCGTTGAGAGACCTACTTCCCAAGCCGTCGTCGATCTCGCCCTATTTAGTGAGAATGACTCCATATCTCCATCGCGTAGACCTGTTTTTCCTCCCTTCCTCCTACCTTCATCTTAAAAAAAAATCAGCACATATTCACAGCTCCTAGACAAAACGCAATAATGGCAACACCAGATACAAGATGCTATTGCTATAATTGCTATTTTTAAATTGAAGGGTTGCGCATATCGTCGATCCACGGCGGGATACCAATGAGAAGAAGGCAGCGCGTCGCGGGAAAATCTGCCGGTTGAATTTGTGGATCATATGAGTCAGATTTAATATAGATCCGCAACCGCATCGCATCCCTCTTGCGACGGCTTGCGCCCGGCAAGTTGCCCGTGTTTGAGGTGATGGAAGAGCCGGGCGGGCTGGGAAGTGGGGGAGAACCTTGTAATAAGTGTTTACATATCTCTTATTGAGTGTCACGGCTCATGCAGATATCTTGTTTTTTATTCGGTAGTCTCTCAGTGAGTCCAGGTATAATCGATGTTTGGAAATTATAGGGAATATACCTAATGCTTGGATGTTGTTAGTGAAAGGATATAGGGATCACATAATGGCATGAGTTAATTTGGCAATCGATATGCTGAATCTTGATATAGTTATAGCAAATATTTACGTAAAAGTTTACTCACTCGTATAGTAAACAAAAATATTAGGTTTTCCATCCTATGTAGAGTTTGAGGTTTAACGATATCGAAATGGTGATGAGATAGTCTAAGTCTAACATAGAGTGATTCTATTTGGCGACTCGACTAATAGAAAACATACTGACGGACCGGTGGCGGCTATTGGACAGCCGGCATTACAAAGTACCTTAGTATCTAATCCGTACTAACGTGGAACTACCTTGGATTAGATAAGCAACAGCTTGATATCAAACCCTTTATCGATAAGCAGAGCTTAGTGACGCTGTACAATTTCACTGCGATTTGCACTGCAATTTGATCATCCAGCCGCGCCATCGCCTTCGTTACCAAACATTGAGAATTCAAAATTTCTTATCAAACTTCCAGCACTAAAGAATTCTAATACTGGACGAACCAGGTCAAAATAATAGGAAAGGAAACCTATATTCAAGATGACGAGTCTCAAAAGACCGCAGGGCGCTGACTCGTATTCCCCGAATCTCTCGAGCAAGACCTATGTGAGATCTACCAAGAGCGGCAAGGTCCAAAAGATTGTGCGCGAGGTCTATCTTCGCCAAGATATTCCTTGTTCCTCCAAGATATGTTCAAAATGTCTTACCACAGCACCAAGAAACGCGAGCGGACAACGTGAGTCTTCATATTCGGTTAGCTAGTAAGAAACACTCATAATTATCGAGACTAACTTCAACTCTAGCAAGCCCGTTCGTCCTCTCGGACAAGCCAGCAGGTACTAAGGCTTACCCGCAAGGACATTACCTTGTCCCAGATACAAATGCTCTGCTTAATGCTATGGATCTGTTCGAGCAGAGCTCCGCGTTTTATGACGTTGTTATTTTACAGACCGTCTTAGAGGAACTACGCAACAGATCTTTGCCGCTATATAATCGGCTGATTGGCCTAACCAAGAGCGAAGACAAGCGTTTCTACGTCTTCTTTAACGAATTCAGACTCGAGACTTACGTACCTCGAGAACAGGATGAGACCATCAACGACAGGAATGACAGGGCCGTCCGGCAAGCTGTCAAGTGGTATAATGACCACCTAAACCAGAAAAAGAGCAAACAGCTTCCGGTGACGGTCATGCTCACAGACGATAGATTAAATATCGAAAAGGCTAAAAAGGACAAGATTCCGGCCACTACGTTACGTGACTACGTATCAGGGCTCGAGGATGCAGACCGACTACTCGACATGATTCCTGAATCACAAGAGCGGGGCATATCCAGAGATAAGAATACATCTGAATTCCTATATCCCGAACATTATACTCTCTCCAAGATGATGACCGGAGTCAAGAGTGGTATTCTCCATCAGGGTATCTTTAACGTGTCGCCGTACAACTACCTCGAAGCCTCGATCAAGGTCCCCGCGTTTCCAAAAGCACTTATTGTTCTTGGACGTGAAAACATCAACCGTGCGGTAGACGGAGATGTTGTGGTCGTGGAAGTCCTCCCCCAAGACCAGTGGAAGGAGCCCTCTA